AAAGGTTCAATTTTTAATTCATTAAATTTGTGTATATGCCAACAACTTATACTTTTCTCAATTTGATTCTTGAAAGAGTGTAAGATGAATGGTTCTTTTAAAAAAATACACTTCTTAACAATTCCAAATATTCTTTTTTGGCTTATTTAACATAAAACGTTTGCATAAGATTTGTTCAAAATGAAATTGAAAAGACAGCGAAAAAAATGTTTATACTCTAAATACATGCAATTATCATCGTTTTAAACCAAAAGTAAATTGTTGTGAACGTTCAGTCGACAGTTCCTTTTGAAGGAAAGTACTTCGCAATAGTATATTCTGTATAAATGTTTTTTAATTTGTAGAAGTAAGTCATCTGACTGTCTAGACGCTTACTCAAATACAGAATTTGTATTGCAACTAGTTGTTGTTTTATATTAAAACAGTTTTAGGTATAGTCATACTCTTATGTAAGAGAAGGAATGGTATAAAGGAAGTAATGCTCTTATTATGACATCAATGTGATTGCTTTGAGAAAAGATAACTTTATTCCGCTTGCTAATTAGTATAAAAAATCTTTGATAATTTCAAGGATTTGATATACGTGAATCATTCATTATTTATGGTGATACTGCTTCAGTTGTCATTAATTTACGAACATCAAAGAGAGTCAGTATAAAATCATTGTATCAATGTCCATGTCCTATACATCAAATATATAACCTTACTTATCTTCATGATGTTCGTTATCACAAAGCAAGTAGGGTAAGTATATTTATCAACAATCTGGTAAAATGAGTCTGCTTTTTGACCAAAAAATATAGATTAAAGCGATATTCAATATCATTCTTTGAATAAGCATTAAAAGAGTGTCAGAAAAGACAGTAAACGCATCATTTTATGATTTTATCGAATTTCAAAAACAAAATGAGTTCAGACTTGTTAGGTAACTGCATATTGACATAAATAATCCGTGAGATAAACAATGTAACCTTACTATAATAGTAGGTTACATAACAACAGTGGTATCCCAGCCAGCAGCACTATATCGGGCCGATATCGGGGGGAAAGCGGTATATCGGCCAAAAGTGCCGATATCAATATGATGTTGATACGACGTCGGCCCGATATTGGTGGATATTGTGTCAATTTAAAACTCATATATTTCTGGTTATGTAAATATGCTACAAAGGATATATAAACAATTCTTTTTGCACAAAGGCACTATTATACAATGTTTTCTTCTTTGCTCGTGCGCATCTCGGTCCGACGTCGGGCCGTTATCGAGGCCAAGATAGACAACTCTGCATGATTTATGAAGTGAATAAAGGTAATGTATAAAAGTTGTTATATGTATCATAATCTAATGTGCAATGGCGAAAAAAAACATGTTTTTTTTTAATATTAAATTCAGGCAATTGAACTTTTCTTATGAATCTTCTCATAAATAAACTTAATTTATTTACTGCTGAAAAATTACATTGCCAATTTGCGCCATTTTCAAGTGTTTTACAAACGAAAGTAATCAGCATTTCTTTTACAGTTTTAGCGGTGAATAATTGTTTTTCCTCAGTAAATTTACTTTACATACTTAAATCAGATATAAACGATCTTCAAACCAAACAGAATCAAAGTAAACAGGTAAATTAAAAAAAGTTACAAGAGGAGTTTTTTCATTGTCATATGTTTTCGCGACAAACATTTTTTGAACAAAAAAGAATGTACATTAATTGAGATGTATTTCTTTATAATAGTTTTTTGTTACATTTATTATTGGTAAATACAATGATTGTAATAACATCTACATTATACTGCTTAACAATCAATTCTTAATACTTGTTATTTGGTGAAAATGCATTATTTTGAAATAGTATCTACTATCTAGATATACATGAAATGAATGACATTTTCATTGCTCAATTACTGATTAAACACAGACAAATTTTATTATTAAACTATTTACACTTACATTTTTTACCCAGGGGTATGTACTCCAGGATAAAGCCCAATTTTATGCCCTTGTAGATTATCTACTGTTACGTTTTTCAACTGAAAGTTGCCGTGTATATTTTCATTGAACATAATTTGAATGCTAACTGTTAAACATCATTGAAAGATGATGTCAAGAGACAAATTATATTGGAAGTCTTACAGAAAGTTAAGATCTAATGTAAAAAACCACTTAAACTCTATTTATAATGAATGTGCTGACAGTTTCCAAGAACAGTTTATGCCAAATATATTTGGAAATTATACTGAAAGAACAGTGTCAGATGTGGTCAATGTCATTCCGATTGATAGCACTGTTGAAATGACAACAGGACTTGATGGCAATACTCATGATGCGTCTTCGAACCAATCTGATGGCACAATTTCTTCAGAAGATGTTTCTATCTCTAGTGATGAATGTTCAGATGATGATGATGATGATATTGATATAGGTTTGTGTGACAATTTGGCTTCATGGGTGAGCAGATTTAACATTTCACACTCTGCCACCCATGATCTTTTGCAAAGTCTTAGAAAATATCACTCATTTCTTCCAAAAGACCCAAGAACACTCTTGAAAACAAAAACAAATTACACAGTTTCGAAAATTTGTGGAGGGTTGTACTACCATTTGGTTTTAGCCACATCTCTAGAAAACATACTTGTTAGAACTCATGTTACATCTCTTGACAATATTAATTTGTTGTCTTTACAAATCAACATTGATGGTCTCCCGCTCTTTAGAAGTTCAAATATACAGTTTTGGCCTATTCTATGCAGGGTTTCAAAACCCTTTATATCCGAGCCATTTGTTATAGGCCTATACTCTGGAGATCAAAAACCCAGTCCCGTAGGTCAGTATCTAAGTGACTTTGTTGCCGAAATGAAGACCTTGCATGAAAATGGTTTACATGTTCTTGAAATGCAAAAGACTTTTAATGTGGAAATATCATCTTTCATATGTGATGCTCCTGCAAGGTCATTTGTGAAGCAAATTAAGGGGCACAGTGGGTATCATGGCTGTGATAAGTGTACACAAAAGGGTTTATGGAAGGGTAAAATGACTTTTCCGGAATTTGACGCACCTCTGAGAACCGATGTTATGTTTGATGAAATGATTGATCCCTCTCATCACCTAGGTCCTTGTCCTTTGCAAGAATTGTCAGTCGGCTTAGTAACTCATTTCCCTTTAGATTACATGCATTTAGTTTGTCTAGGCGTCATGAAACGCTTACTTTTACTATGGCTTCGAGGGCCATTAGAAAGGTCATGTAGAATAGCTTCTACAACTGTGAAAAGAATTTCTGAAAAATTAGCAGACTTGCGATCTTATGTTCCATGTGAATTTTTAAGGAAAGCCAGATTTTTGCATGAAGTTGATAGATGGAAAGCTAGTGAATTTCGACAGTTTTTATTGTATACTGGCCCAGTAGTTTTGCGTGACTGTCTTTCTAGTCCACAGTATCAAAACTTTCTTTTGCTATTTGTTGGGATATACTGTCTTTCAAGTCCTGTATTTTGCAGTACGTACAACAACTATGCAAATGAAATTCTTAGGGTTTTTGTACAAGATTTTGCAAGGTTGTATGGGAATGACATGCTTGTTTACAATGTTCATGGTTTAACACATTTGGCAAATGATGTCAAGAAGTTTGGTCCTTTAGAAGATTTCTCTGCATTTGTTTTTGAGAGTTTTCTTGGAAAATTGAAGCGTCTTGTTAGGAAGCCAAGTTTTCCTTTACAACAAGTTGTACGAAGGTTGTCTGAGGTAAATACTCGGCCAAAACAAAATTTAAAACCATTTGTTTTAAAAAAATTGCATGCAAATGGGCCAGTTGTTAGACATTGCCTTTTGCCTCAGTCTAATTTACAGTATAAACAATTATTTCTTAAAGATGTATGTATATCCCTTGGAAAGGGTAACAACTGTATTTTAGTGGGGGGTAAAGTCGGGCTTGTAAGAAATATTGTAAGTTCATTGGATGAATTAGAAATGTTTGTTATATTTGAGGAGTTTAGTAGCACTCTAAATTTTTTTGATGTGCCTTTGACATCTTCTGATCTTAAAATATTTGTTGTATCAGAACTTTCAGGAGAACTTAAAGTGATAAGTATTTCAGATATTTTGTGTAAGTGTGTTTTGTTGCCTTACCATGGTAAGTTTGTTTCAATACCACTTTTGCATACACTGTAGTTTTTAAGTCAGTCAAAGATAAAATCGGCCATCTATTAAAATACGTTATTATTTTGATTTATATGACAGTATAAATTTAGATAGGAAATGAGTAAATAAAATGCAATTGTTAATAAATAAATATATTACGTACCCATTCCACTTTTCAACTTGAAAATGTTATTGCATAGGCAATCATGCATTTTAATTTCAACATTTGGGTAATAGCAGGTAACATACCATTAAGACTTGTCAAATGTTTAGTTAGCATTGCAATGTGTTATTCAAACTGATGATTTTATTTTGATTATATATTACATGTAAAATTTCAAATAAAATATTATGTTCATGTAGCTTCATTACTGTCCAGATTCATATGTTGTAAGTTTGTGTGATTTTTTAATAGAACTACCGTATTATAATAACTGTAAGAGCTTTTTTACTATATACTTAAAATGAGATATTGATGAAATAAAATGCATATTTTTATTTTCTGTATTTTCACTATTATCTATAAAAATGTATTTTTTGCTGCAGTGAAACATATTTTCCACATTTTCACTTGTGTCTTGCCAGACTACTTTCTTCTAAATTCAGCCAATACACATAATTTAAAGGGAAGTTTTTCAAATTGTAATGTCAAAAAAGGAGAAAAATGTATATGATAAATAGAAAATTCAATTTTATTTTTATATGAATACAGGATTTATTATGATCTAGTGGGAAGAAAAATATTATATTTCACTTGTGGCTTCTGCCACTCATTAGATATTTATTTTCATACCAATCCGTGAAAATAAATCTTGTATTTATAGGAAACACTTGAATATCCTCTTTGTATTACTGAATAACATATGACAATGACAAAACTCCGGTTTCGCCTAAACTGCTTTTGTTTAAAACAATAATTAACTTTTCTTGAAAATTTATTTTTGTTTTAATACAAAGCTGATTATCTTCAGAAGTAAAACATGTACATACTTGTCGAGTTCACCGAACAGAAGGAAATATCTGTCGTATCGAGTAATTGGGTGTCTGACAACAATTCAGTTTGGCCTCCATTCAAATCATCATCAAGAATGAGAAAGGCGATCGAGGCAAAAATGATACCAGGAGATGATTGGGAGGCTTATCCTGTTAGGGAACTTTATAGAAATGGTATGAATCCGCTTTTATAAAGTCTTTTTGAAGGTTACAATTGGAAGTGTTAAATTTAAGTAGCAATAAAGTTAGGTTTTGTTTTTGTTTTTCTTTTGCTTCTCACGACAGTCAAGAATTTGCACTTTATTTTACAATTTGAAAATAAGATAAATGTTATTAGATGATATTTAGAGAGAATTTTTTAATTTTTTTTTCACAGAATCTTACCAAAAGGTCAGAAGTAAGTTGCGAGAGGCTGAATTACGGTCTGATTTGGAGACTCCTTGTGATTCAGAGTCCGAAGAAGAAAGCTTTAGGACGTCAAAAAGAAGGAAGACCAAAAGGTAAGTATCCATAAAGTAACTTTTTGTAATAACCCAAGTTACCAACATTATTTACTCTGTTTGTCATATTTTAGCAATGAGACAAATGATTTTTAGTTTAACTTAGACAAATGATTTTTAGTTTAACTTACAATTAAACTTGAAAAAAAAAAACAACTTGGTGATATAGATGTTCAACACATTCTGCAATCACCTTGAGAGATTTGTTATTTGATCATATCGCATGAATGCTTTTCTTTCATGATTTTTTGTTGATTTTAAGGTATATTTTTTTCCACAGTTCGCGTTTGATGTCTTCCTCAGATGAGGACTCAGCATCTGAAAAGACAGTGAAGGAGGTAGTATTTGGGCGTAATCCGCCCAAACCGACGGGACCACCTAAAGCTCTAGACATCACACTTCCTGTTCCGCCCTCGTCAAATGCAAGAGATGCTTCTTACAATACATTACCGCAAGCAACCTTTGCTGCAAATTCTCTAATTTCAAGTCGGCCACTGTCTCCTTTTACATCACCAAGGACAACAACATCAACATCAACACCACCTGATGACCGCCAAAGTAGCTTTCGTGGGTTGAGAGATGTCAATCATGGTATATATTGTATTTATCACATAAACAGTGGCGCAGGAGTGTTATAAAGCCATTTTAACACTTTGACGTGATGTCATTTGCCCTATGTAGAAACATACTTATGATAGCGTTACACTATAAACACGTCATGGAAAAATTACTCATTTTAATAGTTTACTGTTCTTATTTGATATATGTGATAAAAAGAATATTATATTTATGTAGATTCAATACTAAATTTATTGAACTTGTTGAATAAAACAATATTATGCTCGCCAGAGGCTTGCATAATATGATTTTATTCAACTTGTTCAATGAATTTAGTATTAAACTACACTCATTCAATATCCTCTATTTAAGTTTAACAAAACTGAATGTGTTTTTTATATATTTTATGGCATATTATTTAAGCTTGTGACCTTGCTTACATTCCATTTAATTTTTGTATGGTATCAATGTTGAGTTGATCTTAGTCAGGCTGTTTTATTTTTAAATGCTAGGTATATGACAAGACTGTCTTGACAATGGCTTTAAAAAAAATTAAAGCATGTGTTATCACATACATGAGTTATTTATTTTTTATAATTTTATTTTATGCAAGAATTATTGATAAGATGTACTAAAGTAAAGGCAGTTTATGTGTGAGTATAATTTTTTTTCATCCATTTCTTTTCAAGTGAGAGATGCCAGACTTTTCATGCTATTGGAGCAGATCAAAAAAGAGCAGGCAGATCAGAGGGAAATGTTGGGGACAATTCTTCATCATTTACAGAAAATGCCTGTGTCTGAAAATTCCAGCACAGAAAGTAGTTCTCTTCCTGAAACCATCAACTTTCCCATAGAATCAATAGAAGAGTTGGACGAACTGGAGAAGGAGCTGGCTGTAGCCAGTGTCGAAGCTAGTGTGGTAATCAAATTTTAAGTTAATTGTGTATATCCACCATTTCTAGAGATATAAGAAATGATCTGTAATTCAATGAAGAAATATATAAATCATGACTTTACAGTAGCATAATTATTCTTATTCATTATTTAAAGTTTTGGTTATATAGCTGATAATACAGATTGATCCATTAACTTACTTTGTCACAAATTTTTGCAGAGTTACTTCTGCAAACTTTCTGCCTTATGTATATTTATGTCTTACTTTTTGTAGGTCTACAATTTTTCTCTTTACAGCGGGAAAAATACTGCAGACACAGTAAGGAGAATTTTAAAACGAACGATGAAGAGCCAACTGGCTGAAAAATTTAATTGGTATGGTAAAAAAGGAAAAAAGGAATTTGGAAAGCTGAAATTGGCAGCAGTAATATATAGTGAGTAAAAATTTTATTGTTAGCTCTTATTTAGAATTTCCTCATAGAGCAATAAAGTATTTAGTAACTCGAGCAGCTAGGATTCCAGTAGCTGAGAAAAAAAAGACATACATTGTATAAACATAAAATTGCCCTTGATCTATCCTGCTAACTTTTCAGCAATAAGCATTTTTAAGAGTATTAAAAACCAAAAAAAATAGAATAAGAAAATGTATTCTTAATACATTATATTTCAAGTGTAACAGACAGTGAAATGTGATGTTTACTTTATTTTATCTATATAAATGAGCAAGACATAATATATATGTGCAGTTACTAAAACCGACCAGGACTAGGGGTGTCAAGGTTTGAATAAAAAAAATGCTATCTATTTACACAGTGACCTTACAACCGTGAGGGTTGTTTGGTAATGTCAGGGGGATGAATCATACTGTTGCAATGTGTCACTTGGAAAGGTTACCCTCTAACATTGCATTAGGCTATGCTTTCAATTTAATTATACATGATATTTAAAACACATTTTAACTATTGCAGAGGCTGTGAAGAAAACTCTTAAAAACGTGACAGAGGCTGAAGTAGAGGGGATTGTTAGAGAGTGGCTTAGAACAGCCAGTGACAGAGAAGGAGGAAGGAAGAGAAGGCGGGAAGCAACTCAGCAAATTGTGACAGCAGAACCCGACGTATAAGAACTAAATATAAACAAGAGTGACAGGTGGTTTATATTCATATCAGGATGACTAGTATAGTATGGTTTTCAGAGTTGAGTACTATACCTAATTCCATTTGATGAGTTCACAGTTACAAAAACTATATATTTAACTAGGCAGAAGTGCATGTACAATAAAATTCTTTTGAAAACAAAATGAAATGAGGCTGCTATTTTTTATTTTATCATTTTTGTGTATATCCTAAGTGCCAATTACATTTATTGTTGCTTTTATCTTATTTTTGCATTGTGATGAAATATGTATCTCAGTATTAAGTTGTGTATTTTTTACATTTTTTAGCTTCAATGTACATGTTTTTACTTTGTTGTATACTATAAAATTGTATAAGTTACTTCCTGGTTGTGATAAATACATGAAAGAGCCGAATATTTCCGGGCAAGGCTTAAATTTATATCAAAAAGGCTATATTATCGGGTTATTATATATTGTTGAGTACTGAAATAGATTGTATGAGTATGATTGTATGTAAAACCTTCGTTTGACCGGTTGTAATCCAAGTCTAATACAAGTTTTGCAGCTGTATAAGACTCTTGATTAAATCCCTTTTGTAGCTCAAAAATGTATTCTGACATCTTTATTTCACACAATCATCTGGAACACAGATATGCATTTGATACTGATATTTTGGAATCAACAGAAAAACGAGACTTGACTGAGCTCATAATATGCATTTGATATGGGTTAATTTTGATTCTTGAAATGAAATACATAGGTTAAATTGAAAAGACTGCCATGTAAAGGCAAACTCCTCACATATTAAAGAATTTCAATTAACAAATTAAGGCATCATTATTTGAAATGGGAGAAAAATTTAAGATGTCAATATATTTTATGCCAAAGCATATTTAATTTTAATTTTTTAGGCAAACAGTATAAACTGCATGATAATATAAATCATCAAAGAAATTTATTTGCATTGTCATTTTTATTATTATTATTGCACAGCAAAGTGTAGTTGTATTTCCTTTTCTTTAAAATTTTGCATGTGATATTTATTTGTATATCAGTATTAAGTTTTAAGTTGTATATATATTTTTTACACTTTTATATTTCTTCCTGCATTGACCTATTTTTTATACCTATAGCCACATCCATTTTGTAACTAATGAATCTTCAAAACATTTTTCATTTTATTTTTCTAATTGATGTAATATTGTTGAAGGATAGTTTTCTCTAATACTCTTGACATTTGTTTTGGTTAATCAGTCGGGTGAAAACATTTTTGAAAATTTATTTGTTATTTCATAGTAACAATTTTTAATGGAATACATGTGAATAGGTTTACTATTCATTTTCTTGCATGTTCGCAGTTGTTTTTGTTATTCAGTTACCTGCATGCTATTGCTGTGAACATTTATCTTGTTATCATATATTGTAGCTTGTCATATTTTGTTTTTCAAGACTGTTCTCTTTGATTTTTAGCTTGACTAAGTAGTGCTATTCTAGTCACCCGAGTGTCGGGTTATGTTAAAGTTTTTGAAACTCTTCAAATATTTTCAAAGTCCATTGACATATGGCTTTAAAACTTTGCACATTTTTTCAATATCATGCCCCTCAAGCTGTAGACAGGAGGAGGTAACTCTATCAAGCATTTTGACTGAATTATGCTCCTTTACTGACTTAAGACTGTAACGGTAGGTTAAGTTTTTGTACCACCTCAGATATTTTCAGATTTCTTTGAAACAAATTGTAATTTATACACTTCTTTGTGAGCATAATATAGGACTATAACATGGTTTTAGGGAAAAAAATGGCCCTTCTGTGAACATGTTACACTATCAAGGCTCTTTTACTTTCAAGCACTCAGAATAGTCAAGCGTGCTGTCGACCTACCAACAGCTCTTGTTATTTTATATATTGTAACTAGTCATAATTTGTTTTTTTCAGACTCTTGAACTCTTTGATTTGTATTTTATATTATAGCTAGTCATATTTTTTTTTCGAGATTATATTGTAACTAGTCATAATAAGTTTTTCAAGACTCTTCTCTTTGATTTGTATATTATATTGTAGCTAGTCATATTTTTTTCAAGACTGTTCTCTTCGATATTAAAAAAATGAAATATACACTATTTTGATTGTCTATTGTTCATGAAACATCCAAACATGTATGTCCTCCTTGTACTGAATAGTAACTGTATGAAATGTGCCTCTCTGTGCCAAAAGTATGATTAAATTGTAGCACACAAGGTTAAAATCTGAATATCGGTTTTGCATCAAAAAGACATCGGGCCGATATCTGCAAACGATGTCGGCCCGATATCTAGCCGTGTTGCAATTCAAAGGCGGGCCAATGTCAAAACGACAAAGATGCCGATGTAGGGCCGACATAGACAACAATATCGGTTTGATATCGGGCCGATGTATATATGCTGACTGGGATATTGTAAGGAAAAATAATGCGTAAGCTCTTGAAATGCCCAGACTTAAAAAGCTGCGTGAGTCTATTACGCGGGTTATAGGGGTTCGAGTCCATGTTTGATTGTTATAAGAAGTCTCATCTGGTAAATATCAAGAATGATTAAAAGATCGTATGTTCGAGTGCTAGGAAGACATTTTGATATAATGTGAACGTATCAAAAATTTCTAATCAAATATCAATATAATTGTACAGTGCGCAACCGAAACTTTGCATTTAGTTTTGCTTATTTACTTCTTGTCTTCTTTATATACATGTATATAAATGGTTGTTTTATAAAACGTATCTAAAACTTCTTAAAACGCATTGATTCATTTGAAACTTATTAAGACATGAACACGTCAGTTTAATTAATCTTACAATATTAATGACAAAAAAAACGATAATACTTGTTTAAGTAAATATACGAGGAAAGTACATAAAAATATCATAAAAATGGGTTAATACCGAGAACGGGTAGAATAATAGTACTCGTCACTTATCATATTACATAAATGTTTGTTTGTTTGTTTGGTTTGGGTTTTACGTCACATCGACACAGTATAGGTACATGTAATATCGCGACGTTCCAGCTTTACTGGTAGAGGAAGACCGCAGGTGCTTTCCGTGCACCTGAGCAGAACCACCGACGATCCGTAAGCTAGCTGGATAGCTTCCTCACATGAAGGAATCCAAAGTCCCTGTTGGGATTCGAACCCACAACGGTGAGGGGCAAGTGGTTTGAAGTCAACGACCTTAACCACAAGGCCAAGGACGCCCCCTACATAAATGTGTTTATAAGATAAACAGAAATGTGTACTATTCTAAATTTCAAAGGTGGTTGCATACTAAATAGGTGTTGTTTTTGTTGTTAATAGTTTTATAGTTTTGAAGTGCTTATAGCTATTTAAAATTGAAATATGTTATGAATGTAACATTTCCAAGATTATCAGAATTCATGCTGTTCGCTTACCAACCCTATTACTAGTAGAGAAACTGATAGCGAACAGCATGGATATTGGAAAATTGTATGTCGTTGTAAAGTTATCAAACCATTCATATGATCCGTTAGTTTAAACATATTTATTTTTCGAATATATACTTATACGTATATACATTTACAATACAAATCAAACATTTTTGTATTCAGGAATGTGATTGGAACGGAAGACTTAGTCTTATAAAATTCTTTTCCTTTTGATTGTATTTACAAACTGGCAAATTATTAATTAAAAGCGAATTTTAGCTCGGATTTTTTCTTGACATTGTTTTTAAAGGCAGAAAGAAGTATTCGTGTGAAAGAGCAATGGCAGACAAGATGTAATGATACATTTACATACTTTTGTTCTTGAGTTCACGGAAATGGATGGTTTCTCAAAACTGTTTTTTATCTTGACATAATGTTTTTCAATGAAATAGGAAAAAAGTGTTTTAATTCTGTTCAGCAAAGACCTTGTCAACCGGTACAATAGACGAGTAAATTCTGTTCAATATTAACACAATAGTAAATTCAATGTTATGGAAGACGAAATAAGTAACCCACACAGAAAGACACTAAAATATCATTTTGTTTTTTATAACGGTTAATTCATTGGCAATGCAATGTTAACGCCAAACTGTACTTTTTTGCAAATGTCTGCAAATGTTTAGTATTGGAAAGAAACTAAGTTCATTAAAATTCCAGGGATACTACATGTTAACTTGTCGAATTATCGTGATGACATGTACAAACAGCATTTGAACTTGTCAAAGTTTCATGATGACTTGTGCAAACAGCATGTTAACATGTCAAATTACCATGATGACATGTGAAGACAACATGTGAACTTGTCAAATAATCGTGATGACTTGTGCAAATGACATGTTATCTTGTATCATGCTGACATGTCAAAACGTACTGTAAACTTGTCAAAGTATTGTGATAATTTGTGCAAATGCCAAGCTTACATGTCAAAATTCCATGATGACATGTGTAAACAGCATGTTAACTGTTCGAATTATCATTAGGGCATGTGCATACAGCATGTTATCTTGTCCAAGTATCATTATGACTTGTGCAAACGACATGTTAACTTGTCAAAATTTCATGATGACATGTGCAAACAGTATATTAACTTGTCAAATCATCGTGATAACATGTGCAAACAACATGCTAACATTTCCAGATATCATGGTGACTTGTGAAAGCGATATGTTAACTTGTCAAAATTTCATGATGGCATGTGCAAACAGCATATTTACTTGTCAAGGTATCGTGATGACTTGTGCAAATTTCATTCTAACTTGTCAATGTATCATGTATTTGTGCAAATGCCATGTTAACTTTTCAAAACAAATGTAAACTTGTTAAGGTATTATGAGCATGCCATCACGAGAGTTCGAGAAGTTAACATGCTGTTTGCTCATGTCATCATGAAATTTTGACAAGTTAACATGTCGTTTGCACAAGTCATCATGATATTTTGACAAGTTAACATGTCGTTGGCATAAGTCATCATGATGCTTTGACAAGTTAACATTTTGTTTGCACATGTCATAATGATTATTTGACAAGTTAACATGCTGTTTGAACAAGTCAGTATTGTCTTTAGACAAGATATGATGTAAATTGCACATGTTAATATGCTTAAATGCCAAAATAATATCATCATTTCACAAGATTTCAAAAACATTGATAGCATTAGACAGTCACGGCGTTTCATAACTAATATTCATTTTGGAATCCCTTTATGAACGGTTTGTGTCCTCTGTTCGTAGTCAAGTTTATTTCTAATAATCTAAATATAGACATTAATACGGATACCGTGATTTATTCAAAGAAGATGTGATATATCATATAGTAAGCATAGACGAAATATGTCAGACATCAGGTCAGCTTAATGTGGAGATATATTCTCTTAATACTGAGTTATGTCTTATTTGTTATCATGGTGAATAAAGATACACTATTGAATCTCTTATTAGACGCCGCGTCTAGTAGATAGAAATGGGGACAATTTGAGACTTGATTTTGTATTTATTTTAGTTTAAAACAAAATCACACTTTTTCAAATTTTCAAATAAAAATACCTTTTCTGATGTACAACATGTCACAGAGCTTTAAGGGATAAGCTGAAGTGATATTGCCATGTTTGAATATTATATTTTGTTGCCATTATCTAATTTTATCTACCTTATAAATAACGTTCCAATGAGCCAATCCATAGTCGATCGTTCTAAAACTTAGCCATTGAGAGAGGTTACTATTGTGGCAGTGTCACTCACTTCATTTGCCCCGCCTCTGTTGAAGTTGAAGTTCATAGACTCAGATCCCCTTTCAAAATTCCATTTGATTTAGTTCCCCATTGTTTTCTGGTTAAGGGCACACGCATTCTTTTATTTCTTTTTGGGGGGATTATACTTCGCTTTTCATGGAATGGCACTACTGTGTCACATTGAAGGTTCC